ACAGGTCTTTTTGTCTAGGGGTGGTTATTATTCACATGATTAGTTTTTTCAGGTGATATGTAATTTGGGGGGGAATTTGAGAGAAAAAGTTGGAGTGGAGGAGGAGAGAGAAAATTCATAAGGAATTTCCATGTGATGTATTTTTTCTCGGAAAGATGTTTACCTTTATACTGACACTTCTGGCTTGAATTTTCAGCTGATGTCACAACTCGGTTTGATGAAGTATTCTGGTTTGGTGACTTCAACTTCCGACTAAATAAGGATCGTGAGACCGTGGATTCCATCTTGAACCAGAACCCAGAAACAGACGTGTCCAAGCTACTGGCGTATGACCAGCTCACTAGTGAAATGAGCAGGGGTGAGGGACGGCTGGTTTGCTCCCTGCTCTCCAGGAACAAAGATACCTACACACAGAAATAATTACAGCCAAATCCTGATTTCCTAGAGACCCTTCCTGCTTTCTCTTGTTAAGTTCCCTAAAAAAGGAAGTCAGCAGTTGTCAAATCCAGTGGCAGTCTGTACAGGGGACATTTTGCTATATGTAATCTCCCAAGTCATTTACTGCTCTGTTTCATGTCTCCTCTATAAACTGGACACATTCTGTCACAGTGTCCAGGGCATTTAGATTTTAATATCTAGCATTTGGTAAGCATCATGAGCTTGCAGTGGAGGGGGAAGTACATGCACCAAGTGGCTATTTGGTCAGTAACTATTTTTTATCCTATGTAAGACCTTGAGGCTAGCCAGCATTAGGTAAGCGGTGTTGAATACATACAGAAAGCGTGCAGGTTCTTAGGAAGGAGGAATTTGTTCATGTTGTTCTTCCCTTCCCTTCCAGGGTCTATTTTCAAAGGATTCCAAGAAGCTGACATTCATTTCCGTCCTTCCTACAAGTTTGACATAGGGAAGGACAGCTATGACACCACTTCCAAACAAAGGACTCCTTCCTACACGGTAAGAGATGATTTCAGAGCAGCACGCTCGGAAGGGCTGCTCAGCCTGACATCTGCTTCCAAAGGGGATTCTCACTCGCAAGAAAAAGCTGCCTTGCCACATGTCGGCATGAGATACAGTTATGCTGAGATTTGTTGCTTAATGGCAACAGGGCTTATGGAACTGGTTTGGAAGAAAGGATTGTTGAATCTGTGAGCACAGGGAGAGTGTGGCACAGGCTGCTAATCTTATTTTCCCCGCCTTACATTCTGTTCCCTGTGCTCACAGCTGGGCACAGAACCGCTGTTGGGATCAGACACACATTCTTCATGAACGTATCCCTGTCCAAGACACTTCACCGAGCAGAGTGTGAGAAATGAATGGATTTGTCTGTTGTGAACCAGTGCTTCTTGCCAGGGTGGCTGTGCCAAGGGAGTTACCGTCAGTCTCCCCTCTCTCTCTGCCTCCCAGGATCGAGTTGTATACCGCAGCCGGTACAGAGATGACATCCGTGCTGTCAAGTACTCTTCTTGTCCTGTGATCAAAACTTCAGACCATCGGCCTGTATTTGCCTTGTTTCGTGTGAAAGTGAGGCCTGGCAGAGACAAGTTAGTACCTTTTATGCTGCTCTGTGTGATTGCACGTGGCTCCAGGGACTCTGACGATATGCTCCTGTTCGCAGTTTGTCCTTTCAGGAGAGTTCTGAAATAGAGTTTCTCCCATGTAGCGTTCTGCCCATGTTTGTTTTTTACCCAATACATGCTGTCAGTGGTCAGAGCAGTAAGAGCATTTAAACCTTGCACTGACATCTGAAATCCCTGCTGCCGGGTCCCTTAATCCTCCTGAGGGAGATACACTGAGTCCACTGCAGTTGGCAATCAATCTGTGTTCTGTCTGAGATGCAGCTCTCTGGTTTTCCTATCAGCATGGACACCTTTCCTCTTCTGTTCTTCTTTCCCTCTTTGGGATCAATGCTGTTTTCCCTCCCCAGGGGTGGCTGCATTTCAACATAGCTGTATGTCAGTGGAGTATTTGGAGATCCTCCAGATCTCCCAGTGTCCTGCTGTGGGCTGTTGTGCTAGTAGAACTCCTTCAAAAATTTGGTTAAGTCACTGAAATTTAGTTAATCTCTTTTCTGTGAGTAGCATGGTCAAGGTTTTCAACACCCAGGTATCTAGAAAATTATGATTTCTCAGAGCACTTGATCAGCAGTGCAGTTAAAATTGGGATTTTTTTATTTATGGGTATTAAATACCCATTAAATAGAAGTATTGTAGAGTCTGTGAAGCTGGGCTGCTGCTGTTTCTTTCTGGCCTCTAGAACAGACCAAGGTAAGAACTGTTGTGCGTGAACCGTGCCAGTGAATACACCAAGTTAACAGTAAGCGAGTTGAGCTTTTCAAATTAGTGATTTTTGATTCAGGGTCATAAAGCATGTTCTCCATGTATGCCCTTATGAATGTAGGCATGTTCATGCTTAAATTGAAAGTACATTTGCCTTTTACAACAAATATTTTCTTCATTTAAATGTATTGTGAACACCCTTAACTTGTTGCTGTGGAAGAACAACTTTGTTTTACCCATTTTCTCCCACAGCAGTATCCGAACGCCTTAAGAAAGTGAAAATTAGGTTTTTGGCCTTTGTTGTATGAACTGGTTGGGAAATGTTGGGCAAACAAGAATGTATTTGTGCCCTGATCTAATTTTTTGTGTTTATATTGTAGCATTCCACTTGCTGCAGGGCAGTTTGACAGAGAACTCTATTTAATTGGAATAAAGAGGCGAATTACAAAAGAACTTCAGAAACGGCAAGAGCAAAAGGATCAAAAATCCAGCAGCATATGTAGCATTTCCTGAGCCGAGAACTCTGCAAGGCTTGTGTTAGAGGTGCCCGGAAAGAGGATTTCAGGCCACGGCAAACTCTGCAGGGAATCATCTGCTTAAGCACCTCTGGCAGTTGCTGTGGCTTGTGAAGAATGTCTTAAACCTCATCCTGGATTCATTTGCATGAGCTAATCCATGTAGCTCAAGTGCTTTCGCTAAAGAAAATGGAGTCAGTTATTTAGGACATCCATCCAACAGATGTTAATTGATTTATCTTTAGCCATACTATCTTTGGAAGCAACCAGGTACAGTCTAAGATGACTTCACACAGGGGGCACAGCTTCTGGAACTGGCATGACCGGGAAGAGGGGACCTAAGAAAAGACTGCAGAAAGGTGAAAATTGTCTGTTTGATTTGATCTGTTTAGCTTATGTATGTTGTGATGTTGGGGTTTTTTTCCTGTCTGTAGCCAAGTGCACGGTATTCTGTAAAATGCGTAACAGGGACCAGTTAGGGGACTTGGGCAGTTTTGTGTAAGGATGGTGCTCCTGTGTTGGACATTTTTTGTCCTCTACAGCAACATTTGTTTGAATGTACTACTGTACATTTGAAGTGTAGAAACATTGCCTTTCAATAATTATTCTATAGGCCTTCTGGTACTAAGGGGGTAAATACCAATCTCTCACACCATGTATTTGGCTGTAGAGAGGGCTTGAAACAATCCCTTCCTGAACTCACATACCCTCCCCGGGGGTGATAAACCACCACCTGCCTTCAGCAGCAGGACACTTGAGTTGAAAATAATGGTCTAAGTACGGCTACTGCATAACGCTTCACCAAAGTGATGATGATGTCAAGTGAGTCAGAGAAACCGCAGCACGGCAGATCAGCGCCGTTCCGTTACCTCTGGTTACAGTTCATTCCTTTTATTTTTCCAATTCCGTGAACTGTGAATACCTTGCTCTTTTTGAAGTAGTGTTGTCTTAAGGCTAAACATACTACATGGACCAGTGTGGCACTGGTAAAGTGTCAGTACAGCTAATACTGAAAAACTCTTCATGGGCACAGATTGGCTGGATCATTGATCACCTTAGTACATAAAACACTGTGCAAACAACTTGGAGGAAGTGCTAACTATGCAACCTGTCCAAGACAGAGCTTCTGTTCGGCGGTACAAACCTATCTGTAGCCATCAGGTATTTGGACTTCCTTTCTTTTTAAAGGAATAAAAATAAATTAATGCAATACCTTAAATGAGAACCAGCTCTTATTGCAGGGTTATCAGAAGTAGAGTTCTGTGTGTGATGCATGCTAACTGTTCGGGTGACCTGAGCTGTTTGTCTTCAGCTGGAAGAGCAGGACAGAATTCTTTGGCATCGTTTGCATTGAACAACCAAAGCACATTTCACCTGCCAGTTCTAGAAACCCAGCCCTGAGCTGATGAATTTCAGAACTCTTACTACTTGTTCCAGTCATTTAGAGGTCTTTTTATTTTCTTACAAACATACACAACAACTGAATAGGACTTCCCTACTGTGGGTTCCACAAGAAGCAATGCAACGTGTTTTCTTCTAGTTGCATGAGGAAAAGTACGGGGCTAAAGCAGGTAAGAGCTGCCACAGTGTTCTGCTCCCAGTTTGATTGCTCCTGCCACTACACATCCAGCCAGTGAAGTGCTGCAACGCAGCTGTCTACGTTTTGAAGCCCCTATGTTAGGGGATTATGTAAAAATCAGATGTTTTATTCCTTTTTGTGTCTCCATTTCTTCAGTATGTCAAACGCATGGCGCTTAGCTTCACGTCTCTTCCTGTAACATGGGGTCAGTCACTTTTGCGATCATAAACTTTCTAAGTGTTGGCATTTTGTTGATCTTGACGTCTAGATCAGTGACATCTCTGCTGTGAGATTGACAATTATATCCTCTTTTTGCAAGGCCTTAAGTTCACCTGAGTGACAGTTTGAAGAAAGCAGGTATGAGTTTAAGGTGCAGCAGCGACTCCTTTAATCCCTCCCTGTTTGGATAGTTATTTCCAGGTGTGTGACTTCTAGCAGTACTACAGATGGTAAATTACACAGAAATGGAGTGATGCTTGTACCAAAACCTGGACTGCAGGAAACTTGTTGCCTGCCTTCACGTGGATAATAAGTGTTTTTCTAATTCAGTTTGAGCAGGTCTTTGTTCACCTTGGTAGCAGCTGCAAATACTCTTTAAAATCCGCTATGTAAGGCAAGCTCTTTCATGTGCCACCACGTTCCTGAAGAAGGGCACACACCAGGGCCTCCAGTGTGACAGCCCCACCCCTGTGCTGGTATGATGACGTGATGACACACAGCAGTGACCGACAGATACATACTTTCAGTTGTAGTGATGAATATTTTGGCTTGCTATGCTCTCCCCAGTGCCAAGAGAAGGCTGTAGACACCCATCTTCTCTTGTATCCTACCCACAGGGTCAAAGTCTTCATCCAGAGCCGGGGGGGCCTTTAAGCCCAACACAACAAGCTCTCCACAGTCCGATGTTCTGAAGCAGCTTTGTTCAGCTGTAGCGTAGCTCCATGTTTGCACAGTACACCAGGAAAGACTGGGGGAGGAGGGCTTGCAGCAATATTATAATTTCAAAAACATATTGAAAAAAGAAGCAAGTCTGTCAGGCATGTGCAGGATGCCCTGCTTTATCGAAAGAGCCGGTACAGCCGTGGGAGTCGCCCATCCTTACTGGAAAGTGCTGCCTGGATGTCTTCGTAAGTGGGCAAATCTGTCAAGTCACCCAGTGCAGCCACAGCTGGTTTTTTATGAAGCATCTTAGTGACCACTCTCTTGATATCAGTAGATTTCACCTGACCTGCAGAAAAGCAAAGCCAGAGCTGTGACAACTACATTCTAAACAGCACAAAGCAGCTTTATTGTGATGCTGAGTCAGACCCCATGCTCGGAAAACCAATCACTAGCTCTAGACCTTCTCTACCATGGTTCTGTTTTTCCCTTCTGACAAAAATAAGCATTGTGCTAGCTTGTAAACAATGGATAAGATCAATTTGAAATATGTATCTGTAGTATTTATGCCTCCATGCTTTCTAAGGCAGTTTCTAAATTGCTCCCCCCCAGATGTAGCTACAATTCAGCCAAGGCAAGGAAAAGCATTGTCTACTCACTGATCAGGTCACAGAGCTCGTGAGGTAGCTTCCTTGTGTTCGTTGCCAACACTTGCCTTCCCACATCTTCAAAGATAACTGGCCGAGACTCAAGGTTCATCATGAGCATGGACTTCAGCTGTGTCTTCGCTCGCTCCAGTTCTACCTGTAAATGAGCAGCAAATACAAACAGATGTTCAAATAACTCTGGCCACTGCGCTCTAGTACAACATTCCACGTAAGAGTTCTGCAAACACCTTCCTCTTTGTGAATGTGTCACTAAAGTGACTGTATTCTTTTACAGAAATACGTAACATACATATCTACAAAAATTCATCCTAGCAAGGCCAGTGCAATGCATTCTTTCAGCTCAAAGACCGTCTGCACAGTCTGCAAGCCAGGCTGCTGACCTCTCCTACTGCTCCTGCCATTAGAATGAATTCTCTTGTGATGATTTCCACCATCTCTCGAACCTAGGGAAAAGAGATAATTGAAAGAAGGTTAGAACAATGCTTATTCTGTTAACACTACTGGCTGGTAATAAGTGATGTGATTGCTTTTCAAGGACACCTGGTTTTGAATACAGGGCTGCGTACCTGTTTGGGATCTGCACTGGCATGTATGCACAGGAGACCTGTATCCTCATAACTGTGGTGGTAAGAGGTTGCATTGTACATCCAGTGGTGCCTGTGAGTATACAAACAGCATTTAAAATTTAAAAAAACAGAATTGAAATGTAAAAATTAAACCAAGGTGGACAGTGAGTCCCCTCTAGTGCATTTTCAGGATGCTCAGCAGTGCCAATGAGAACCGTTACTCCTTGCCTCTGACAATTTCTGCATGTGCCTTCTCTTTCCTTCTCTCCACTGGCATCCTTGAGCCCAAACCCAGAACAATACAGAGCAGGATTACTGGTACCTCCTGCCAATTCTGTTAATATCACACAATTAAAGGATGGATGGGACTAGTGGAGGAAGACAGGGTTCCTGGTCACTTGTGCCTTTTACTTTCACCCTCTCAAAACTCCCGCTGACAAATCAGTCCCACATATTTCAAGGAGAATAAGCTGATGTAAAACCTGGGGGTGCTGGCTTTCAAAAGATGAAGCTTCCATCTGAACCTGCTAGAGAAGACTGTTTCTGCTATCCCTTAACCAGAAAGGCAGACAAACCTGTTGAGCACATTGAGGTACAGTCGAGTGAACATGCCCTTGCCAGGCCCTCCAGCTGAAAAAGAGCCACCACCTCCCATCATCATGTTTAACACCGCAAAGGGAATGAAATCTTCCTCCTGAATTGCAAGAAGAAATTCAGTCAGCTAACAGCAGAGCTCTTGAGGGTCTAGGATGAGTAAAGAAAGAGAAAAAGCAAGAAACGTGGCACAAGAAGAGTGTCAAGGTCAAGGGCTTCATCAAACTGTCGGTGAAAAAGCTGCTTGTCTGTACATGCAGTATCAGCAGCGCCAATGTTTACAGGGTGAGATATAGTAACTTGGGCTTCTTTGAGTACAGGGCACTCAAAACAAAGGATTTTAGGTTGATACTTACTAAAAATGAGCAGCTTTCTAACCCAATCATGATGTGAGTAAGCTCTGGGATGGGAGTAGGGCCCAGACTCACATCTGACATATCTTTCTCAACCTGTGGGAAGGGCAGAGAAATGATTAGGACCGATTTTCACCTCTGTTGTATCCAGCTTGCTACATTCCCAGTAATTAACCTGTCACCCAGATAACGGCTGTCATGGCCAGTTCTGGTTGCACATTCATAGCCTGTACTTCTACATGTACAGCATGGAATTTTAGAAAAGCAAAGCCTATAAAGAAATAAGCTCAAATCCAAATCTGCACCTCCAGTGGAGAGGAAGAGGCACGATGCCACCTCCACCTTCCTCTTACCTTGACGATGCCTCCTGTGTACTGAGCCACAGATCTGTCCACGTCCTTGGTCTGCCCGCTGCCCCACACCGGCTCCGCTCCAAGCAGATATTTCTTCGCACACTCCACTAACTGCTCATGCTCGATTCCCACCCCGGCAAGCACCATCCTGTCTGGCGTGTAGTAGTTGCGCAGGTACGAATGCAGGACTTCTCGATCAATTTTGTCAGTGTTTTCCACTGGGCAGAACCTGTTCAGTCCAACTGTATTGTTTCTGTAAGCTGCCTAAAAGGAAAAAGATACCTTAAAGTAACAAATATTACTTCATCCCCCTCCATTTAAACCTTCTCTTTTTCTTTTAGAATTATGCCTTCCTGTTTGAGACATGTAAGAGAGGAAAGCCTGAACATTACTTCACTGTCAGTGTAACTCAACACGTTGACACCCGTGTCAACAAAGATAATTTGTAGGTAGTTTTAGTTCAGGTTAAAATCTTTCATGTGTGTAGAATGTAGGATTTCAAAGTGGAGGGACAGCAAAATTTTCCCTCTCACCACTGAAATCTAATTGAATAATAGAAGAATCTGTTTTCAGAATCATCTAAAATAAAACCTGAGATTGTGGAAAAACTGAGGAAGAGAATGAAGCATGTCTCATACTGGTAGACTTTTCAGTGTTTTACCGCATGGATCATCTCTGTGAGGAGAGGCTCTGGATCAGGTCTCATATTCAAGTCTTCAAGCTCAAATCGAATAGCCGTTCGTGTCATCTCGATTTCTTCATCTGTAATAAGAGAGAAAGCAAGAGATAACCACCACTCAAAATACCCAATTGCTACGTGATAACTTCTTGATGAGCACAATCTAATGAAGAATTCTGAGCTCTAATAACAAGTCACATGCTGGGCATCTTTTTTTGAGACAGAGACTTATGTTCCCAGACCTGATAACCTGGGCTGCAGCGCTACGTCAGCCAGCAAGTTGACCACCGTGTCCAAGCCTTTGGCGTCAGCAGAGACAGCGTACATGATGGTGTCCCTGCAACACAAGCAGACGGGTTCTGCCTTGAGAAGTCACACCTACGATGGTTCAGTAAACGTGCATCAGGAAATCACAGATTAAGCTGCTTGGCCATTACTCATGAAATGCTTTTGAAAAGAAATAGAAATGACTTTTGTAACCCTTTTGGGTTCACTTTTGTAGGTTCTTAGCGGTTGCCACAAATGGATTTCTGCAGCTTAGAAGCAACAAGTGGCTTTTATTGTCACACAGCAGAGAAAGCAACTCGGACTGCTGTCGGTATTACAACCACTCGGGTAACAGAGCACAGAGAGCATCATACCTGGATGCCTGGCAGTCACAAATGCCCCCGTGCTTTTCTAAGGTGAAGAGAATTTCATCTTTGCTGCCAAACTGAGCTGTAGACTGAGAATGAAGATAGCAGTGTTACAAACTGGTAAAACAATAACTTTATCATCCTACAGCGTGGCCCAGAACAAGCATCACCTCCTTCATTCTTTCAGTCAATTGGTTTGCTAAATATCCACTGCCCTTGGAGATGAAAGCACAACAGACTTTCCAAATATAATCACAGCCATACCGAGGAACACCTCCATCTATTGAACAGACCAAACCCTGGCACCGCGGTGCGGAGCAGCCCCTCGCCCAGGCTCCGGCACGCCGCGATGGCAGCGGGTACTCACGGAGAAGGCCAGCTTTTCCAAGAAGTGGGAGATGCCACTGAGGTATTTCGCTTCGTGTCTTGATCCCGAATTCACAAGAACTAGCGTTCAGAAAAGAAAAACCCCGTCACTGTCATCCCCCGGGTCCTCCCACACCCGCCAGGCTCCCACCGCC